TATTACTATTATATGATCATTTTAAATTTTAAACATATGTAGGCCTTGAGTATTACTATTGTTGATCATACTCATGCACATTTGAGTTATAATTTGACAGATCCACATATTTAATATTATGTTCGTCAAGTCGGGTTTTTTGAACGTTTAAAATTACAATGGGTAAGACTCGATTGGCCTCTCTTGAAAGCACTGATTGAACGATGGAGGCCCAAGACAAATACATTCCACATGCGACTAGGAGAAGCAACTATTACTCTGTAGGATGTAAGGGTTATACTTGGCCTCAAAGTGGATGGAAATGCTGTTATGGGTACTAATAACTTCAACTGGATGGGAATGTGTGGAAGATTATTGGGTCAAGCTCCTAATATGAAGGGTGGTATGATCAAGCTCGAGTAGTTACGTGTGAATTACAATGTACCGGAGGATGCAACAGATGAGGTTATCAAAACATATGCTCGTGCGTACATACTCCATATGATCGGTACCATTCTATTTTTGGATTCAACTAAGGATTTAGCGCATGTTATATGGTTCCCACTTCTTGAGAATCTTGAGGAGTGTAGAGAATTATCTTGGGAGGTTGTAGTGCTAACTTACCTCTATAGGAAGATGACAAAAGTAGCATTCATGCAAAATAAGAAATTCAAATGTTGCATCACTTTGTTGCAAATATGATCATGGGACCAATGACATATTGAAACACCAGCTATGAACGAGGCTCGACTTCTTGATGCTTAGATTCCATTAGGATGCAAGCATATGAGTTTTTAATATTTATTTCTAATATTTATGATTACATGTAATTTGATACATTTATTTCAATTTATACCAAACATTTACATATCAAATAGATGGAATGTTTCTAGATATTGGAAAACCTCCCCAAAGGGTCATGAAAATTTTTACAGAAATGAGCTTGATCAAATGGAGAATGAACAAGTATAAAACCATAATATTTAACTATATTCAAGCAATATATCATATGCTACTGATATGTAAATTTCCGTAATGTTTTTTATAGGTCAAGTGGATGCCCTATGAACTAGTTTTAGCTTCACTATTAGATATTTGCGGAGATGGTGAAGATTTATGGCATGCCCGGGCCCCAATTATATGCTTTGAGATTGTCAAATGCACGTGCCCGTTCGTGTGATTCGATAATTTCGATTAAAACAACACATTCCAAATATTGTAGAAAGAATAGAATGAAATCCTCAAAATGAGCACATCATAAAAATTGGGAGATAATTTATCAATCTTACATTAAGGATTGAGAGTTGAGGGGGGATGCTATAGTGATGGAGAGAGGTTATGTGTACAAACGTTGGTATCAAGGGATTACTCACCGATGGATATATTAGAAGAACAAAGCACCTTCTGCGTGTATGCAAGGGGTCCAATTGAGAGAGGTTGGTAAGTAGATAGGTAAAATATACACTTATTTTGTGATTTTTATTTTTATTATTGTTATTTTGCTTAAGTTCTTCCGGCGCTGCGTTTATCGTCTGACCGTTGTCGAAGTCTTGAATCGAAATTGGTGAGTTAGTTTTGGCTCGTGTCATTGAGTTGACTTTGAACTGATTATCTTTGTCGCAACGCGTTGACCGGTGTTGACCTAGGGCTACGCGTTGATCGGCGTTGGCCTTAGGTTTTGTATCGATCGATGTTGACTTTTATCGAAACGTGTGGATCGGCGTTAACACAGTTTATACTCGTACGTTTGCTGGAGTCTACACAGTTTAAGCTCTTAAGACGTTGGAGCGTGGCGGTCCTAAATATTGGGATGCATGACCAAATCTTCTTTCGATTGTTATCTTGTAAGTAGAAGAACTCGATGAGTTTGCTTCTGTTGCATATGATGCATTAAGATCGACTACCGAGCAAAGGGCAAGGAATGCATTTGTTCGCATCATAGAAAAGATTCAGTCCGCTCTTAGAAAGACACGTCTTGTAAATCATGATGGACATCAAGAATAACTCATAGGGTACAAACGTCGATGATTACGAGGACATACTAGGGCGGGCTCAAGTCGTGCACATGATGAATCCTGATGTTCACGGCAGGTTCAAGTCGAGGAGAATGTCATGCGTTCACAAATTCACACACAGTCAGACGATGAGATCATACAAGCTCATCTTGAAAGGGAGCCGGGACGAGGGAGAGGAAGAAGAGGGAGAGGGAGAGGAAAGAGAGTTCTTATTGTTTGCTAAATTTTGATATAGCTTGTTTTACGATGTTTACGTTTGAAATGATAATTGGACTATCACTAAGTTTTGATAGAGTTTTTTAGGAGAGAAGGGGGAGGGAGGCGGAGGTTTATAAGCTAACCGTTCTGACATTGTGTTTGTTTACAATTTTTATTTAGCAAGAGAAGGGAAGGGGAGGGATGAAAATTAGAAAATTCAGCCACTTTCTTAACCCTCCAAAAGTGGACGGATTGGGAGGGGAGGGGATGTGTTTCAAGTAGAATTTTCTTGAGATTTTATTATTGCTTTATATGAGAAAACCAAAAGGCGTTCTTTCTTATTTTATTAAAAGCGCATACTTGTCAAGTAGCTCCCCTTCCCTTCCCATCCCAACTCTAAACAAATATATATTATAGTGTACCCTCTCATCCCCTCATTGTCTATCCAAACACAAATGAATACATTCCATCCTTTCTCTTTCCACTCCCTCCCCTTATGGTTAAGTCAATCACTTCTCTCCCCTCCCATCCTTTGTATCTAAACCGATCGTAAATGTTTACGATTGGAATTTTAATAAGTCAATTTCATGTCTGTTTGTGTTTGAAAATGGTTAGGGATGTAATATAGATATAGGTATATGTGTTTATTTGTGATTGAAATTGATCATGGATTAAATACATGAGTAGCAGGAGAGTTTTTGCCAAAACCCGACAGTTTTGGTCAATGAGGGATTTTCCAGCAAGAAGGGGAGCTGGATGCTCTCTGCCAAATGGTCGGGGTTGTCAGACCCGACCATTTTTATCGTGGTTGGCAATCCCGACAATTTTCGTTACTTAGAGAAATTGAGAAATCGTGACTCAGTTCGCTGGATTGTAGGCTCCGCCAAATAAATGGGTTGGCAATCCCAACAATTTTGGTCTGGGTTGACAGCCCCGACAACTTAAGCCCTAACTCGGGGTTAATAAGCCCCCGGTAACTAAGACTTCACTCTTTTTTTTTAAACGACCCAGTTTCTGGCGACGATGCTGACGTGGCCGAAACTGGGTCAATTTCATAAAATTGGATCGCGTCGATTTTTGAGAATAAATTTGAGAATGAGAGTTTTTTTTTTAAATTTCCTTTAATCATCCACTAAAGAATTGAAAATCGTGATTAACTATCGGGCTCTCCACTAATTTTCTGACAGTGTAGAGGACCCGAGTCCTCCTTTGGATCGGGCAACCCCTTTTCGGACCCAACTCAAATTCCTCCGGCTCCTAATAACAAGCTTGCTAGGGGGCTAACCTACAAAAGCGCTCCAAGCCGGTGATTAGGATTGTGTTCCTGCTTCATGCATCCTGGATTGGCCCAGCCCCAGGACCGAGTCGGTTTTTTTTTTTATGAGAGGA